TCGCAGTGATACTGCTGGACCTCACACACACTGCTGCTGGAGGAAGAGATATTACTCAATATCTGATCCTTATCCATCATAGTCATTGTGTGGAAAAATGCACACTGCCTGACAGTAGAACTGACAGAGAGGGATGTCTCCAGGTACTGTGTTTACATCCATTCATCAAGATAGCTTCTGCATTACTAAAGACACAAAGTCCAACATACTGTGAGATCCAGGAATGTGCACTCCTTGAGCTGAGGTCTAGTTTTGTTATATTGTGAACAGAAATTACAATTAGGAAAGAATTTGTTATCAGAAATGAGAACAAAAACATGAATCACACCTTTGTCATCCCCAGTCTTTATACATAGTACCTTTAGGCTGGTAAGACGGTAAGTAAGTAAATGGTAAGTGGAGGACAGTGAATTAAAAAACTACTGTTTCTGGGGTGAAGAATGAACTGTGAGACTCAGATGTTTTTATGGCTGTACATGAAATTAAAATGTTCTAGATGTCTTGTCAATAATTGTATTTATTTTAACTCATCTGTAAGGGACCATGTACAATATTAAACATAAATGTTAAGATTGTATTGTCTGCAGTCCCCTGGCAAGTTATATACATTTCCCCAAAATTAAACGTGACATATTTGGGATTTTTGGAAACTTCTGAATCTGTTAATAACATGAGTTTGAAATGACGACCATATATTGCTACCATCAGAGGAAGATAAGATACGAGTTAGGATGCTTTAAAGGGCAAGTTTTGAATGGATGAGAGAATATTAAAGACGTGTATTAGTGCACAGCAGTGGTTTTTATATTCCCTGTGTTAACCAACAACCAATACAAACAGTGCACTTACCTACACACGACCTCTTGTCAGGCTGCAGGGTGTACCTGACGTGACACCTGCATATGGGGCCGTTCTCTGTGTCCTCGCAGGTGTGCTGGCACCCTCCATTGCCGTGGTTACAAGTTACTGCAGGGTCAACAACACGCAACCATGAGACATTAAATCAGTGCGACATCTGAGGCTGTAAACTGCGTGTGCGTGACTTAGGTAGGTGTATAGTGCGAAGTTAGCTTCATGTCATTGAGCACGTACAGATGCAGCCTCGCTGGTTCCTGGCCAGCTCGAACCCTGGACGACACTCACAGGCCACACCCCCTTTGGGTGTCTCTTTGCAGATGTGGGCGCAGCCGTGCTCCTTATTCATACAGTTGAGGCCCTCTGGGATAGAAAGAGGGCGAGAGGTACACAATGAAACTCTCCTACAGTGACTGGCCGGCTACACACAAAGGCACACATACTGAGAGATTAGTCTGGCATCCTCAAAGACACTGATTGTTCTCACGCCTTACACAATCCAAAAACATCAGGCCCTGCGTTATTTTTAGCACTTCTGGAGAGGAAAAGAGATTCTATGAGCAGAGCAAAAGTTGCTCAAAAGTTCATTCCCCTGAAAAACAAAGCTCAAACAAAACTCTTCTAGTATCTACAACATACTGAATAATGCTTCCGGCTGAAAAATGAGATGAGATGAAGCACAATTTATATAAACAGCTGAGTGGATAAGCCCATAGGATTTAAAATGGATGTCCCGAGGGAGTGGAGAGCAACTTGCATTTAAGTTGACTTCAGTCAAGAAGACAAAACAAAGGCACTTCAGACTAATCTGTGACACAGGCCACATATGCCCTGAGTGTTGCAGTTATTAACTCATTTTGTTCTCTGGGACACAGAGATCCTTTTCCCACAGCATGTTGCTGCTGCAGATAAAAGCTCAGTGACGGGATCCAGCTTGAACCTGTCACCCCTCATTGTGCCGTCAATCTTAGATTTGTATGTGAATATTGGAGGATTGGCTCTTTTTTTCACGGCTTAATACAAACAGCAGATACAAGCAGCCACAAACTCAAAAACTCTTTAGTAAAATTTCACTTCCCCCGACATTTTAAAACACATTTAAATTTGTGGGAGTGCTACAAAATAGCCCTCCAATAACTCTGAAATGTACTTCAGGTGCAGTACATCTGTGTGGTCGAGCTAACAGATGCTGGCACGGCTGCTGTGTGCAGAAAAGTGTGCGTGTGTTGTACACTCACCCACAGAGCGGTGGATGCATGTGTGCTGGTTGTCGCTGAGGAAGAAGCCCTCTTTGCAGCGGCACTCATAGCTGCCCATAGTGTTGACACAAGTGTGTTGGCACCCACCATTGTTGAACTTGCATTCATCCACATCTAAAAGACAGCGGTTTGATTGCATTAATTAACAGTGTCGACAAAACTCTGGAAAAAGTATCCTATGTGACAGTCACAGATTGGGTTTATCTTAAATTAATCAAATAAGGCTGTTTTGTTCAGTTTTTATACACATCAGACGTGAAAATAAAGCTTCTTCAACTCAAATTTCAGACAAAATTATTTACAAATCTTTTAAATCACTGCATGAACAAAACCAAAACTGTTTGTATAAGGCTACATTTTAAAGGTTCACTGAGGATGGCTCAAGAAAAGAAGTCAGAGTGAGTGTGAGAAACTTCACAAACAGCCCACACAAACATGAACTCTTCACCATCAGAGCTGATGATTCAGGCTCTCAGGCTATCACAACATGTTACGTACTTATAGCGGATTAAAACTGATCTTACCTAGACAGTTGTGCCCATCGTGTGCCAGATTGAATCCGTCATAACAAGTGCAGCGATAATTGCCTGGTATATTGTTGCACTCATGTACACAGCCACCATTGTACTCCAAGTCGCATTCATCAATGTCTGAGAAGTAAACACCACATAAATTAATGTTTCACCTTGAGTGCAACAAGAAGATGTATAGTGTCTATCTTAGAGGGAGAATAAATACAGATATCACAGATTGTATGCCCCTGTAGGAGTGCAGAAATTATGCCACAATTGAATGTTATGATATGGTAATCACGAACAATTAGTATTACAGACATATAACCAATCCACCCAGTGCCACCCTGCATCAAACTGTGTGCTTAAAGAGCCAAACCCCTGTGATCCCCCCACTGGTTTTTGGTAAAAAGAAGACACATTACCTTCGCAGTGTTTGCCATCTCCTTTAAAGCCTGCTTTGCACGTGCACTTGTAGGAGCCTTGGGTAGTCTGACAAATAGCATCAATGTGACAGCCATCACTTCCCTCTGCACATGGATCTGCTGAAATCCATATGGGTCTTATAGGTCATGATTACCAAAACACATTCAGATAGTCTAATAAGTCAAATTGTGTGACATTCACCATATTGTGTAACAATATACTAAAGAAGACAAGCAAGAAGATTTAACTTGACAAACTAAACTATAAACTTCCCTAATAATAATAATAATAATAGCATATAGCTGGAAATGTTTATAAAAATCCAGTGAAAACTGCCCTGAAATAGCACTAATTAATAAGTTTATACAAAACAAAACCTGTTTTACAAACTTATGTGCATATGGGAGCTCACACATCCCCACAGCAAGTCATTTTTATAATACAGCTACACATTTAGAAACTAAAATGAAATTTAAAAGTCACCACTGGGGACACAACAAGAGCGCACTCCTGAAAGCGTGCGTAAAGTATCACTCTCCACGACTGGAAAACACACAACACACAGACACACACACACACACACACACACACACACACACACATGCACTCACTACAGTCCCACCTCGAATCTCTGGAAGCGCTGCGCTTTGGCGACTATTTAACAAGAGCAAAAACAAACAAAAGTCCCTTGCAGCCCAAATAGCTCCCATGGTGATATGATCCAAGTTTAGAGGTCTTCTCAAAAGGACGCGTACGCACTGAAGTCGTGACCGAGCGTCCGCCTCATTTTCATTCTAGCCTGTCAATCTGTTTCACAAGGGGCTTTTGAAAAGAGAAAGGAGTGAGTGAGTAAGTGAGTGTGTTTGTGTGTGTGTGTGTGTGTGTGTGTGTGTTTGAGAGAGAGCGCCAATGAGAGCGTGCGTGCGCGTACACGAGTGACGCTTTTGAAGCAGAGAGTCAAGTCTGTCCGATAGGCAGGTCAGAACCGGAAGAACCGGGCTTTGCGTAAAACGCTCCAACGTCACTTCGCTTGGAGGAGCTTTTATTTTGAAAGCTGCGACCGGAAATACGTTGCTAAACCTCACGAGTTGAGTTCTTTTAAAGCCTCCACTCTGAAAACATGGCCTTTTGGCGTCGGTTTTAAAGACGACCATGGCAAACTGCGATAAAAAAAAAGACCGAAAACACATAATATACAACCACATATGCCGTCAACGACGGCTGCTGAGCTAGCTTAGCGCTTACTGGCTAGTCCTGGAAGAGTACCCTTAGCCAAACAACGAGGTTGCTAGGCAACACACGTTTATCGGTTCTAATTTAAGTACAACGGCTCCAACGGTTAAAGTTGGGACCTTCCGTTTTATGATTAATGCGTTAGCTTTATAATGTTAAACTATGGCGCACTAAATACAAATAAAAAGGCCGCTAACGTTAAACATAAATTAAGCTTCGTTCCCTTGAGGGTTTTTTTTCTTTAACCTTTTCAATTAATTCCTGATTTTCCCTTAAAACCTTAAATTACTAGACAATGAAAGGTATCTGCCCCAATATAAATTGTACTGGCACACAGAGAAAGCTCAAATAAGCCAACTCTTCCAAACTATTGTGGCTCATTAAAAAACATCTTCTAAGCAGCTTTAGTGCACCACCTACTGGTGTATAGGAAAATAACAAGCACACTTTTGTTTTCTTTCATTTTTTTTTATTACAATACTGATCTACTTTGTGGTACAGTATACAAAAAAAGCATTAAAAAAAAAAAGATCTACATTGCATGTTCAAAGGAAGTGCACAAAATAATAACAGACTTTCTGAATGGCTCTACACCGGTTATCAAAAATTCAGTTAAAAAAAATAGTTTTGCAATAAATAAATATAAATTACATGATAATCATAATGAAAAGGTCAGGTAATTCATTAAGGCACATCTCACATCCCAAAATGTACCTCGCAAAAACAATATGGCAACTCCCTAAGTACAAAAACAAGCTTATTTCCCAGCTTAAAAGGGAGCAGCATTTCTCCTTTTTAATAAGAATCATAAAACATGTTCAGCATTTAACTACCCTGCCGCAGAAAAGTTTATATATTAAGCAACTTTACAGAGCATTGCCTGTCAATTCATGAAGTTTGAGATTGGTTGCAAAATGCAAAACAAAAACAAAAAACCGTTGTCACTGCAGTATTAATTTGAGAAACAGTATGCACCGTGGTTAAACTGTGCAATCTGAGCATAATTTTAACATGACACACATAAGACATATCTTGAGACATTAATGAATTGTGATTAGTAAAGTGTAAATTATTGCTGAAATAATGGATGCTTTTAACAAGCCAATTTGGTTGAATAAGGATCCATCACTTTACACTTTATCAGCGAAAGTGATAGAAAACCCCCAGAGCACTTCTCACATTCAAAATGTCTGCATAGTTTGAACTCTGACAAATTGCTTCTGAAGATAAATCACAGCGATGACAATCACAAACACATTTTCTCTACCAGCATTTTCGTGGCAAAAATGTAGAGTAACCGTTAATCTTCTGATCCCTGCACGCCCTTAGCAATCAAATAGAAAAGGGATATTGCAGCTCACTGATGCAGCAATTAGGCATCTAGCTTTCCCTGCAGTTCACAAATATTTCTAAACAGAGCTTAGGTTACAGCTTTGCACACCTGTAGAGAAATGCGTATGAGAAAATCAGATGTGAAAGTGTGCTAAAACTTATCAACTGGCTTAGCGTAAAAGTACAGCACCTTTCAGACACTCAAATACATTTTTTTTCTTCTTTTTTCTCTTTTACAGAAGTAGTGGTTTGCCATTCTGTAATCTAAAACAGGTTTGTATGTACCAAGAGCCAAAACATTGTGTATTTACAAAATCCATTTTTAAAACATTTGCTTTACAACATGCATCGTCATTTCATTGGAGGCTGTACAAAAACAAATAAATAAATCACTTGTCATTCCAAAAGGCAGGGGAATGTACGGCATGCATTGAGTGTTTCAAACTTGTGGCATGCTTAAGCCGTGAAAATGTCGAGAGATTATTCGTTCTCATCTATACACACACATTAAAAGCTCGAGAGAACAGTTGTACTAAAGATCCCTGGTGTAACCGACAGCCATTTGTGTACTAAAAATAATCCTACAGACTCACGCATTTGCACATATGGAGCAAACTGTTAAGACAAAACATTGTAGCGATGTGTTGAAGAGCCACTCCAACACACACAAAAAAGCTGGTTTTAGAAATAGCTGGTGTCTTTCATATGCAAACATAGAAACAAATCCTGAAAAAAAATTAGAACAGTCTTGATATGTACGAAAAGGTGACAAAATATTTACAAAACGTTGATCACTTGATACAAAATAGCCAAAAAATAAATCAGAAACGGAGCCTCAACAAAATTTTCTTCCTCATCCTATAAATAACACTAATGCCCATTATGGTTTTTTTTTTTCCCTTTTGCTTTCTATAAAAAAAGAAAATCAACTTTATACAAAAGTTAAAAAATACCCATATAAAAAAAGGAATATTACATAGAAAAGAAACATCTAACTAACAGATATAATTGGAGGAGCGGAAATTTGGAGGTCTGCCACTGGAGACAAATCCAGGCGAATGCCATGGATAACCCTACAGGGGGATTCAACGAAAGCCATCACCAGGTTTCTTTCACGTCTTCTGGGAGCTGTGGAGGAAGTGCGTCTGGTAGGTGTGCGGCCACTTGCGTGGACACCAGTGTCTTCTGTTTTTTGGAACTGCAGCAGGGCTTAAAGAGTCGAGGGTCAATAATCACCTCTCCAAACCGCCCCTTATAGACAATCCCACAGCACACCTTTTGTCTAAAGGAGGAGGGAAAAAAACAGATTAAAAATGACCTACAGGTATTTAATTATTTATCGTATTAAAAAGACACAAAAATAATCTTTTTCCTGTCACATCTTCAAACACAAAGCTGTACTATTAGAGAACTATAGCTTGCCTTTTCCAGTACGAACGATCCAAGAAAGAAAAGATGGAGGGAGTCGAACGTCTTTGTTTGGACTCGATGTCTGAGCCATCATCTGACTGGTTGCTGTAACTGGGGGACTGTGCAGGAGACACGCTGGAGGTTGTGCTGTGGGCATCTGAGTCTGCTTGGAAAACAAAAGAAAACACTTAAATGCTGTCAACAAATTGATTTGGTAACTGCTAACAATAGCTGACTAAAGTTTTAATAGTTACTTTCAATTTTAATTTATTATTATTATTATTATTATTATTATTATTATTATTATTATTATTATTATTAGGCACTAAAGTGACAAGATTCCCCAACAGTCTCAATGTTTTGGAAAGGTTTAGCTTTTAATAAATACAAAGTAGAATGAAATTAGGTCAACAAACACAAGAATTTAACAAAAGGCCATAACTACCAATTATGTTTATTATTGTTTAATCTGATGATTAACTGTTAGGTCTATAAAATGTCATGAAATTGTGAAAATTCACATATTTAAACTAATTGTTTTTGTCTGAATAACAATCTCAAACATACCTGTTCAGTTTATGATCAGACTAAGAAACTCAAATATTCACATTAGGGAGGCTGAGAGGGCTGCAACTAATGAGTATTTTCATTATTAATTTAAATCGACCATTTTCTCAATTAACTCATTAGCGGTTTGGTCCATATAAAATACAGAAAAGGTTGGAAAACGTTGATCACTGTTTCCAAAAGCAACGTAATCAAATGTTGTGTTTTGTCCACAACCCAAGGTTATTCAGTTTATGCTCATAGAGGACTAAAGTAACCGGAAAATATTCACATTTCAGAAGCTGAAATCAGAGAATTTTGAAAGATTGACAAACTCAAAATGATGAATTGATTATCAAAATTGCATTAATTAAACAGTTAACAACTAATCGCTTAATTGTTGCAGCTCTGTAATTTTTCCTTTATATAAAAAAATTCAAACAATTTATCAATCATCCAAATTGTTGCCCATGGACAGCTATATGTGTAAGCCCCAATATGAACCTTTAAAACACTGCAGTGGTACAGTGCGTGCCCTAACCAAAAGAGCCACAAGATGCTGCTAAGTGGTCATTTTAAATGAGGCTGTTAGTTTACTTTGAGAATAAAACCACACCAAACCCAGGATTGAGTGCAATTGCGTGTATTTGTGTGATATGATGCACTTTTTCTTGTGCATTTACACTTTTACTTTAAGTCAGCAACAAATACTTCTGGTTTGGCTTGTTCCAAATCAAATATCTCAAAACATGCAAATTACTAGTTAATATCTTTAAAACAACTTACTTTGTCTCTTCAACTTGTGAAGCTTCTTTAGCTTGCTTTTCTTCTTTCCATCACTGTTCTTGATCTTCTTGGGTTTTGTCACCTTGAAGCCTGGTCCAGCTCTGGCATCCACCACCTGAGTCAGGTCAGAAAGACAATTAATAGAAACCCTCCAAGGTGATAACAAGACAAATGATTCTCACCATTTTATTCAGACATCACTTACGTGGTTCCAGTTCTTCTTGGAGCCATTGGGTAGCTTCTTCCACCTTTTCACCAGTAACACACAGGCATTGCAGATGTCTCCAACGCGATCTTCTGACAGCCTTTAAAAGATAAATTAAAACGAATGGCGCAAATAAACACGATGAGAAGTGTGATTGCTAAAAGTTTAACTCCCTATTCACATGCAAACAGGCAGAAAACACACAGGTTTACACTATACACACGCACAATATGAATGAATGAGAAGCTTTTACCCAAAACAGAGCCTGAACGTCTCTTCATATCGACTGCTGTCTGTGAACCGAGAACTGGAGGACTTGGTCTTGCAGATGCAGCAGCCGTCGTTACTCCGGTAGATCTTTGACTTGTGAAACCCAAACATAGTCTAGTTTGGTCAGTGTTGTGGACAAAAAAGGAACCTGAAAGCCAAAAAACAAAAGAAATATGGGTGAGTGTGCCAGTCCCCGTAATAAGCAGTGTGGATGTGTGCAGACAGTTGCGCTTTCTACTACAGAGAAGGGGGCGGTCCCTGCACACACACACACACACACACACACACACACAGATACAAGCCATTATCAAACCGTAATTTTAAACATATCCTGCGTGTAAATTCACCTGTTATGTAGTAGTTAATTGCGAATAAAAGAGCACAAACAACGGAAACAGCACCACTAAGTTTGGCCAAAGCAGCGGCAACCGAGTTTGTTTGTAATTTAAAAAGCCAAGTCGCGGGAACAGCGAAACACAACAAAAAACAAACAACCAGGGACGTTACGACCCGATGTTATTGGTTGCATTGTAAAAGAAAGTAAACACAATAACCAACTCGGTTACATTTAAAAAGAAGTAAGCCTCTAAAGCAGACTACCAAACTTTTCAGACAGTCCGCACGGTTAACGTTAACGTAAGGTCAATCACACGGCGTTACACCCACAACACGGGGCTTTACTGTCGGTATCTGTCGCCAATGTTACTACCATCAATAACACTGGAAACTGTACGGAATTCACTAGTGTAAGAGACAACGAAGATATCCCACACGAAACATTGTTCGGTTGCGGGTTTGTTTGCAAGCGACAGCTCGAAACAAAAAGCGGGCTGCAGCGTTTTCTGAAGTGAACAAACAAAAAGCTACCGGGCTATTGCGTTGAATTATGTGCAACACGCGTGTCTTAAAACAACACACACACGATTATCTACGCGGTTGCCTTTCGCGCGTGTTGTCTATATTTTAATAAAACACAAAAAGTCGCGATGAACCTCCTCCTTCCCTTTAAATTCTAACTTTTGCCCGCTAGAGCGCCAAATACGGCTCATTGTTGTTAGCTGTTAGCACGCTAGCTAGCCGCCGCCGCTACCATTACCACGCCACGCTCTCGTTCACTTCCACGTTATCCCCATTGTCGACTCCTCGGTTACTCTTTGTACACTTAGCAACCGGCAACGCACACGTCAGGTTACGATCACACGACACTGCGGTCGGTCTACTCACACACAGCGAATCGGCACAATTTCACGACCGCAATCCCCCGTCCCAGAGAAATAACAGCGCACTTACTGAACAAAAACTTTGAATCTTCGCCGTGTTCTTTTCACGCACTGCGCATGCTCTTACTACTAATGCATACAGCTGTGTATTAGAATGTCATTAGCATAAAAAGCCGGAATGAAAAGGGCTGGACGTGTGATGACCATATAAGGAGCGCAGCCGTTGAGTTTGAACGGGCCCTCGACCAATCGCTGCTCTCCTCGCGCACTGTTTGGAAGACATGAATGATGGGAGGCGTAGTGAGCGAGCGGGAGATGTTTGCGCCGCCAGTAGTCAACGGCCTTCTTTTCAAACTCAAAGTCCCACAAGCCACCTGGCCAAAGGCTTTAAAGAAAAACAGCTATTTGATATGGCGCGAAACGAGTTTGTTGACATTTTCTCAGCTGAGAAAGCGCATTCAGCAGCTTAGTAACGCGAATACAATTAATTAACTGTCGTGTTACTTTTTGACTACGATTTATGTGACTATGATTAGTTGTGAAATTCAGTTGCTATTTACAACATTTTGCTTTTAATAGGCTACATATAAAGTAGAGCTGAAGTTGGCACACTCAACAGAGAATATAAATCTGAATGAAAAAAAAAACTGGTTAACCAATACAATTACATCCACTTTAATGCATTACAGATGCTTTATTCTTAATATATTTTTACACTGTACACTGTTGCTCACTTAGTAAACACTACATTACACACCTATGTCAATAAATGTACAACAGTATTGGAAAACAAAAATATATATCTCCCAAGATGCTCATGTGTAGGTCGTACACAGACGAGTACAACACAGTCATTCCAGACGCTGTTGGCACAGAAAAGAAGTCCTTCGCATATCAAATCTCTTGTTTTGCACAGTAAAGTTCAATGTATGTTACAGGGGAGGGCCCGGTTATACCTCAAGACATCCCGATATGGAGTTTGTAGGGGATTTAAATTTTCTCTCTCGTGGATATTGCATAGCAAGAAACCATGATGACAAAATCAGGAGGCGGGGGGAGCTGTTTGTTTTTGCTCCTCACAATAGAAAGCAGGAGATTATCCTGTATCGTGAGGAGTCTACACAGATCATGACAGCGTTTTTGTTCAGAGGGCAGATGTAGTGTTAAGGGCTGGGATGATGGTTAGGTAAAAGGGCTGGTTGGAGGTATTTACATGAAGGCTGTCATTGTGATCCACTCTGCACAGAAAAGCCAGGTCAAGCATCCCTCGGAGGACGTGTCTGGAACACAAAACCTAAAAAGACTTGGGGTATTTTCCTTTATCCGACTGAATATACTGTCCATCACTGGATACAGGCTTGTCTTATTATCATGCAAGAAGGGTCATTTTCTCTGCTAAAAGTATTCCATGTAAAAGATCTGCATTTCTCAGGGAAAGGGCCAAATGGTACATCCTTTTTTTATTTCTATGTAGGTGAATCATCTTCCACACTACAAACCCCCTGTCATACACATACTTATAAAGCATACTTCTACATCATTTGCTTTAAGCTCTGCGTAATGACATTGGAATCTGAGTTGACAACAGAGCAAGCAACTTGACTGATTTAACAAAATAATACTGTTTATCTCTGAAAATATATTAACAGTTTTGATCCTCACTTTCCCTTAAATATAGCCATTGTCAGCAGTTCACGATAACAATGAAAATATTTAGCTTTCAATAAAACATTATAGCACAAGTAGGTCAATAATGTCAAAATCATGGTTCATAATAGAAAACATATTTTTAACATCTAATGGCAACATCGTTGAGGATAAAAATAACAACATATCTGGAAAGGCTCATTGCACTTAATATATGGCAAATGTAACAGTAGCTTTAATATAAGCCAGAAAATGTCCTTTGTTCAAGTCAGTTCCTGCATATAAAAGGTTCAGTTATTCTTTTTAGTGGTCCCCAGTGATCTTCCTGGTCAGGTAACAACTGGTGTGACGTTGGTTCGGTCTAGATACCGACACCTTTGACAAGCGAAGCCTCCAGGGTGATGTTGAACTCCTGCAGAGTCTGTAGTACTCTGATCAGAGAGTTCACCAACGAGCGGTCCTTAATCAGTGCTGTGTCCTCGTACATCTGAGCCGTGATCGGACAGTCTGCGAGCAGAGCAATCCAGTGATGCAGCAAATGGTCCCTGAGAGGAGATTTTTTTGGTTGATAAATGACATAAACAATCAATCTACTATCAAAATTAATAACAATGAATTTTCTACTGACTGAATATTCGATGAATGAACTAATTGTTGCAGTACTACTATTTTGTATGGAGGAGTCATATATAGAAAAGCATTAAAACACAATTATAAATCAACATACAAATCACTGCGTCACTATGCACTTAAATGCACTGGCACACAGCACGGAGGATGAACTAAAGGAATCCAATAAAACATCTGATACTTAACAATCCTCAAAGGAGAGATCATTTTCACTTGACTCCTATCAGGTCAGGAGGATGCAGGGTCAGATACAAAGTAGGAACTGTTAGGGATGCAGTGTCTTAACCAAAGACACTTCAACAGGAAGGATTCATTTTTATCCTGGGGGCTTAAGCTTGATTAATGGTTGTGCGTTACGGGGTTATGACGTAGATCCAGAGACTGCACATGTGGCCACAGCTGACATGTAAGGAGGTTTTAAGTGAGAGCTGCTGGCCTACCTTGCACCCAGACAGACGAGCATCTGGAACTTCCCGTCCTTGCCGATGTTTCTGGACGTGTTGTTGATGGCACGCATGAAGCGGCAGAAGTGGCGCACTCTGGTTTGCCAGTTTTCATCTGGAGTCACCTCCCGCTGCTCCGCACTTTCAAAGTACACTTGTGACTTCTCTGTTAAAGCAGAAAAATAATTAAAAGTTAAGTTAGTTAGGTTAGGTTTGAAAGGATGGAATATCACTTTAAGGACTTAAGTAATATAAGGGAGTAATAATAATAAGTCTTTACCCAAGAAGTCCCAGATGAAGACATTCTTAAAGAGTCGGGGTGATTTGAAACCGTGCTGGAAAACTTGCTCCAGAGCCCAGACGAGGCCATACTCTCCACAGAGGAGAAGGGTCAGACTGCCTCTCTATGGAGAGCAAAAACAGGAAAATACATGTAGTTAAAACTGATTATAAGGCTGTTTTCTATGACAACCAAATGGAGCACTTTCTAGATACAAAGCTACAACAGCTTACCAGATACAGTTACCCTACCAAAATACAGTGATGACTTTAATTCCCAATATTTTGCAGAAAAAGAAGTCTAAGGTGCAAAAGTGCCTTCTCTCACAGGTCTTATTTTATTTCAAAAGAACTTCCAAATAATAAATCATTGTGAGAAGAGTTAACTGAGTGTTTATGAGTGTATGGAAGACATGTTTTATAGCTGTTATATCACCATGACAATAAAAACATGCATGAGAGAGGAATTTAGGCTTGTAGGCATATTTACATGGTGACAGACTCAACTAAACACAGAATACAAAGTGCATTTCAACTTAAGGGACAGTTTTTATTCTTAGCAGCCTCCCTACATTGTTCTGTCAGTACTGTACAGAGGTGGAGCAGATGGAAAGGGGATTTCCCTGTGAAAATCCTTTGTACCTTGACTACACAATGAATGACTCTTACAACATGTAATCAACAGATAAGTTATAATGCACTTTGAATAGAAAACATCACTCTATGTGCCTTTATAAGTAATAATTATCAGTGTTGGTGCTTCATACTAGTGCATCCTAAACAGAACATATAACTGGAATCATTCTAGGGCAGCAGAAATAATCAATAATAATGTACATTTCTGAAAACTAGCAGAAATTCTCTTTTGATATGTTTGAAAAATCCAAATTATACCACATAGCCCACAGTTATACTGGGAGGGCTTGGGGACCACCAGAGCAGAAAGCTGCTTTTCTTCATTTGTGATGAATAATAGAACTGCGTGTTGGGGCCTGTCTAGACTGCCGTCTCTCACCTCCTTCTCCGGCTTATGGAAGTGCTTCACAATCCCATTGATGGCCTCTCCCACTCCCTCCTGGATCTGACCTGTGTTTAACTCTGGATGAGGAGAGAAAAGCAAATAAAAGATGCTGTAAGACAATACGAGCCGACATGGGGAGGAAAAAAAAACCATCCAGGTTTTATCTATTTGTCATTGTGTTTTCTCAATCATGCGTTTGAATTTTTAGCAGGGAAGGTATTAAAAACAAGACTTTAAAAAACGTGGGGCCCAGCGTTTGACCGTACTTCTAAGAATGAATCTCAAGTTGAGAGAAAAAGAAGGAAGAGAAGAAGGAGGAAAAAAAGGAAAATCCAGAGTAGACGAATGTTTCCCCGCAGTAAGACTACAAGAAAATGTCTACACACCACTATTGTTCATGGTTCTGCAGTTGAGTTACTTACTTGGTTTGCTGTTTGGCGAGATGGTAACAAACCTCCTCATCATCCCCGGGGATTGCTGCATTGGGGGCGTGCGGCACATCCTTTCATCGTTCTCCGTGCTGGGGGTCATCAGCTCTCCCACCAGGATCCTCTCCAGACTACCATCATCCACGCCCTTCCCCAACCACCGGCCACACGGAAACCTGCCCAGCGAACACATTTTGTCAATTTTCTTTTGAGAATCATGTGATCAAAACATTCTCACACTTGTGTGTGAATTTCTCTCAAAAGACATGCTCACTTGTAAGTGTGCCCTGTGATCTCGTTGCGGACCATAACGCACTCCACCAGCCACTTTGCGTAGAGCCCTGTGTTATCATGACCCATCTGCACTGTGGTCAGCTTGCCCAGGTTCTGGCACTGAGAGAGAGAGAAACATGGAGAAATTAACGACAAAACACAAGACATTAACTCATTTTGCTTAAGTTTAATTCCAGTTTATTACAACAATAAATAG